GGGATGCCCGCTTAAAGCACAAGGTGGGTGATGCAGAGATTCTGTCTAGCAGTGGTGCTGTAGTTTTAAAAGGTGCTGCATGAGTAAGGGCTGTACCATATGATCTTTGGGGTCCCTTTGGATTTTATAGTTGGATGGCTTTATCTAGGATATCAGATCCAGTAGCAGAGTCAAGGGGAAATGACTTCCTAAGTCAATTTGAGTATTGGAATTAAAAGAAGCTGACTCGTGAGCACAACTGTGGCCTAAAAGGAGAAAAGTTTTGATTGCCCTATTTTGGGGGGTGGTAAGAGATATGGGGGAAGGACTATTGCTGTCCCATAAAAATGTCCTCCTTCTGCATAAGTAGATGATATGCAAAAGCAAAAAGCAAGGCATGCTGCTTATATAGCACTCTTTTAGGTGGTTTACAGTACTTTTGATGCTGATGCTGCAGCCTACACATCCCCTCACCCTAGCAAGCATGGAACTCAATTTACAGACCTTGGAAGGATGAGCGAACCTTAAACAGGCTACCTGGGATTAAACCTAGGTTCTAAACAGAGTTATGGATGCAGTACTGCAGATTAACCACTGCACCACAAGGCTCCTTGTGCATCCCTATAAACAAGCATTCACTTGGGTTTTTTCTAGCTGGAAGGAGCAAAGCAAAACAAAACAAAAACACAGGAAAAGGGGGGATAACTTGAGAATAAACAGGGAAGGAATTAAGAACAAAGCAAAATAGGAAGGAAGAGAGATTTTAAACATGGGAAACTTTTGAAATAAAATGTGAGATGCGTTCACACAAAGGGAGGGAAGTTCTGAAGATGGAGTCCTATTTCTTCAAATCCGGATTTGTGTTGTGCTGTTTATTTCTGAACAGATGCATTTGCAGAAATCTGAATAGCATCAGTGTCTGTCCCTATTTCAATATTTTTCAATACAATTTCAGTATTAAAGCATCATAGTCGTACTGAATTTTGACATGATATCCATTTACATCTCCCGCCAACCTAGCGGTTCGAAAGCATGCAAATGCAAGTAGATCAATAGGGACCACCTCGGTGGGAATGTAACAGCTAAATTGCACTGGCCATGTGACCACGGAAGATTGTCTTCGGACAAAACGCTGGCTCTATGGCTTGGAAACGGGGATGAGCACCGCCCCTAGAGTCGAACACGACTGGACAAAAATTGTCAAGGGGAACCTTTACCTTTACCTTTACCTTTATCCATTTACATATTGCTTCTGCAGCTACTTATAAACTCAGTTTTTATCTGCATCTGTTTTAAGTTACTGTTTGCCACTTTGCCTTAAAAGGTAGGAGCAAGGTAGGGTAAATTTAAATAAATAAACAATAAACAAACAAACAAGAATCCCTTTCCTTTCCTCCATGTCATTTCCCCCCTAATTCATGATTATAATTTTAAAAACAACCTAGGTCCTTCTTACATTCCATATGTCCCTCTTTCTCTTCCAAATTTAGTTTGTGATAGATGCTGCCACCTCACCCCACCCGCCTCAAAATGTGCCATACTGCACATTATAGGAAACCATGCCCTGTGAGTAGAAAAAGAGACACCAGCAAAATCCCAGATCTGGGTTCAAGAACAATTTTAATAAAAGAGTCCTTTTCAAGAGACGAATTTCCGAGTACTGCAGATGAGGAGCAGAAGAGGAAGAAAACTAAAATTTAAAAAAAAAGGTTGTCTCCCATTTGGTGTTGAGTTTCTTTCTCTCTTGCAAAATCATTCCGGCTAGAAGGCGAAGCCCCAGCACGTTGGGGCTCAGCCGCTCTCGCAAGACGCCTGGGACACGAGTCCTCCTCCACCAGGCCTTCGGAGAGCGCCGCTGCCCGGCGGAGGCGCCTGCGGGCGCTGTCGCGCTCCGGTCCCGAGGCTGCACCCGAACTGGCTGTACATAGAGCCAGTTCTTTCAAAACTGATCAGCAATGAAGGTCCTCAGAACCAAGGCACTGTGGGAGTACTGGGTGGAAGGACCAGTCAAACAAAGAAAACAAGGAAAATACAGTTGTTGTCATCAGAGACATTAACAGACATGGTGGAAAGAATTAGTCCCCCCCCGCCCCGGAGGGTTAACTCTTCGCCTGCCGGCGCCCAGCAGGCAAGAAGACCCAAGCTGGAAACCGAGGCCCGGGACTCGCTTCACGAATCGCGAGCCGCTGGTACAAAATCCTCTGTGCTCCATCTCCGAGGGCAGCTAGCCAGGCGAGAAGCGACTCTCAGAGCCTGGAAAAAAAATTACTTTTCCGGGCTCCACCTTCAGGATCCCTCCCGCAAGCTCGAGGCCAGATATCTATCTCGAACAGGCAAAATTCCCCCCGTCGCCCTTTCCCAAGGTCTGGCGCTCCTACGCCGGAGTGACTTCGAATTCGGATGGAATTTAAAAATGAGGGCCTACGCGGTGTCTCGTCTCATATCCGGGGGTTCTTATCTAACTCCACCCAGACGCTCACTTTTTTTTCTTTTTCTTTGATTTCAGTGCAACTTGTTTCTGAGTAGGCTTAGGTGTATCCTAAATGATAATGATCATAATAAAAATAAATAAATAAAGGTCCCAGTACTTGAAGAGGCGTGGAGAGACCACGAAAGCATCCTTTTCAAAAGGCAAACTGAATCATCCTCATCAACTTAAAACGGCAGAGCGGGAAGGGTCCCTCGGGGTCATCGAGCCGAGCCCCTGTCCAGGAGGCCCCGGGGGGATTCGAACTCCCAACCTCGGGCTCAAGCCGAGCCCCTGTCCAGGAGGCCCCGCGGGGATTCGAACTCCCAACCTCGGGCTCCGCAGCTTCTCCGGCTCTGATCCAAAGCCCCTCTCTTCTGGTCTAGTCTAGTGTCTGGGTTCTTGACAGGGGCTTTCTGACACCAACTGCACCGTTCCTTGGCGGCCTGGGATGGGCAGGTGGGAAAACGGACCTGAGAAAACCCTCCGCGATCCTCGCGCAGCTGCATTGACGGAGGTCTAAGCGGGAGAAGCTGGGGAAGCCTCCAGCTGGGACCCAGAACGGTGGACCCCCGGGCCCGCCGCCTTGCCCGTCCCCTCCCTCCGCGCCAGGAAACGGCCGCTCGGCCGCTCGGCTTATACCGGGAAGGAGGGCGCGAACTCAGATCGCGCGACCCGAGTGAGGATTGCACGCGGCAGCGGACCGGCGAAAGTGCGCGCGCGCAGAGGAGGCTCGC